AGAGCTAGACCGGACAAAAAGGGCATGAAGCAGCGAGATGCAGGCTTCTTCGGCATTGTTGGACTCAAAAACCGCCAGCAAGCACAGAGGCAGCAATCAAGCCTAACACCTTCTTAAGCAAAGAAAGCGACACAGACAGAGAAATGAAAACCCTTCAGCTTTCCTGAGAGAGTCGGTACACATTGGAAACCATCATGTGTTCTCAAGCGGACAAGCGACCGCAAAAGACTGCAAATCCCAGGAGGCTCAATGTCAAAGGTCAAGTCTTTGAGGCGTATGAACTTAGCCGTCCACCGGTGCAGGCTGAGCCGAAGTTACGCCGTATGGCGCTGCATCCGGCTGCTGTCAGGGTCGATGCATTAGCAAAAACTGTGGCACAACTCTGGCGAACAGGCCTGGCCAGAGATCGGCGGCGCTGGCCTGAGAGAGAGACCACGCCTTGCCCTTGATGCCGTTGCACATACTGCACAAAAAATGCACACACAAAGTGAGGTCATCACGTTTGAGTTGGAGGAGGGGAGGCCTGACAACCAGAGTTCTTGGAGCCCTAAAGCAGTGACGTAAAGCCGTCACAAGCTGGCCTCGCTGCCGAGAACGGCTACGTTCCTATTTCAGAACGCGCTGGGCGTCTACATGGAAAGAAAATCCCAGGCAATGCGCCTGGCCACCAGGCGATTCTTTGCTCCCTTCCGGTGATGATCCCGCTCAATATCAAACTCCACCACCTGGCAGCTGGGCTCCACAAAAGAGGATGAAAGATAGAACTGATGCACAACCAGATCAGGGCACTGTGCCCAGTCCGAGCTGCGAATTCTGGCACTGCGCCTTACAAGCATGGCTCTCACTGCCTCCTAACTTTCAGATGTTGAGAAAGCGGGGGATTATTCTCCAGACAAGGGGCGCTGGAGGCCACAAGCTCAAGTTACCAGGGTTCTGCCAAGGTGAGCACGCGAAAACATACAGGAAGAAGGAGCAAGCACGTACCACAAACCTCCAAGACGAACAAAATCGACAATAGTCCCGCTGGCTTGTTCAGGAGTCTCCTGTTTTCTCCGGTGTAGCGTTTACAATTCAAGGGCTTCAGAGCTACGGGCTGTACTGTAAGTCTTGGGGCCTTAGAGTCTTGGTTTCCGGCTTCCGTGTCAACGAGTTTCAGGGATAGAATTTAGGGTTTTGGACCGCTTTGGCTTTGGCGGGGGAGTCAGGCATTTTGGTGTGCGACTTTCCCGTTACTGTCCTTAATTGCAGGTTCCCTGCAGTTTCGATCCGAATCCAACCCTGAACACGTCCACCTCAAACCCTAAGACCCAACTTAATACAGTCCAAATAAAACCCTGAAATTGCGGCCTGGTGGCATGGGCCGGTTCTGTGTTTGCAGCTTTCTTACAAAGATAGTCATATTCTTTTCTCAACCCATATGTTGCCCCCAATTGACTCAGGTGGATGCCGCTAAAAGCGCCTTGTCGGATGCCACCCCTACGGGGCCATGGCCCAGACATGCCCAGACTCTATCCCAACTGATTTACTTAACGGTACGTCATACATCCTTAAACTGTTTCTTGTGATCACGATACCCATTGCTTTTTGCTCCCCCTCCACGTAGGCACTCTGTGAAGTATTGATGCTCATTCAATTACCACAAGAAGACTCCTGTTCACTTGCCAACTATCGTCTTATCGCTCTCACGTCTATCTCAGCACTTAGATCAAAGGATCCGCTGCATCCGGTTTAGCTTTTGCTTCTCTCCTTCCACTACCCAACCTAGTGACTTGTCGAAGCACAGTTTTGTTTCTTGATTGATCTACATAAAGCTTTTGATTCTCTCATTGTCGCGTTCTGTCTGCGCTGCCCTTGAACATGTTGGTGCTCCGCCAGCTATTGTTAATACTCTTATGATCTCTTATGTCACTTTGTCAGTCTCTGATGTTTGAGGCCAACGCCTCGGGCTCAGTTTCTTCCGCAAGCAAACCGGAGGTCTCCGCATCTTCCGCCAAGGTTGTCCACCATCTCCATGAATCTATGTGATTGTTTTGATTTTGTTCTCAAGCTTGTCCTTCGTTGGTGCACGTTCATATGAACCTTACTTTGGAATTCTGTCGGCTGCTGTCAACACCCGCTCCCTTTTGTGGGATTGGGCGTACGCAGATGACACTGCCCTCTTCTTGAATTATTCTGTTCAGTGTTCACACCTTCTCCCACTTGTCGAAGGAGAAGCCTGCGTTCATAGTCTTCTTTCAAATGCGGACGACTGCTCCCACACTCGTCTCAACAATCTATTTCTGGTGAGTTTAAGCATGTAAGGGCCATAGCGAAATGTCTTTCGACGAATCTTACAGGCTGTACGGGACCCGCAGCTGTTCCCACAGAGTAGCCAAGCATCAGTCACCTCGACAGCATCATAAACGACACCGGTGAGCACCCAAAGTGGCGTAGCACTGAGGCTATGGCCCGTGTTGCCCCCCAGTCCCAGGAGTCCGGGGTTCGTGCGTACCCCGACATCGCTTTTTCACGTGCGAGGTGTTTCTTCCGCTCAAGGCGTTTCAGTGTGTGGGTTTGGCTTTACTTGTTTTTGTACAATTGGACCTTTTCTCCGAGGACGGGGCGTCCCTTAAAGATGCTTTACAGCACAGTCCTGTCTTTATGGGCGAGGGGTTTGGGGTTAGGGTCCAGGTTTGCGACTGGAAGGATTAAATGCTTGACGGCTTCATGTGTGGGTTTTCGGGTCTGGAATGAGATTTTGAGAACCTTCGTTCGCATCATTTTTAAACTTTACGGATTGCAGAGTTTAGGATTCCGGCTTTGCAGGCTTTGGCTGTTGAGGGTTCGGCACTTTGGTATGGGAAGTTCACAGGAAATATTTCCAAATCTAGGATTTTGGGGCTCTTGTTTGTTACACCTTCTCTCGTGGCATGTTTTTGGTGGGACGCAGCCTCACGTGCCAAGCGTTCTGTGACATTGCATCCATTCCAACCAGGAGTCCAGTATCCGCAGCGTTTCAGATTCGAGAGCAGGCGATTCCCAGAGCATGCATGTCCAATTCCTAACAAAATTCATCTTCAAGAGCATCTGATTGACAGAGAATGCATGCCAAAACCATCATAACCTTCTTCTTCAAGAGCATCCGATCGTGTAATGACGTTTACGTTCGAGAGCATCTGATTGCCAGAGCATCCATGCCCAAACCATGGTAATCTTCATCTTGGAGAGCATCCATGCCCAAACCATAGACATCTGATATGCCAAGCAACTTTTGCAAAAACAGGCCCTGGTTCTGCGCCACAGTGCAAAGCTGGTTTGCTCAAAAAAGCCTACCCTCTTCAGCTTTTTGGGCAGTTGAAATCCGGCTTGCCTGTTCCGACTGTGCCCGAAACCGATTAAATGGCTAACAAGGCTCTGCGCACAATCCCAGGGCCTACGAGCCCGCGTCCGGCCATATTTTTGCGGGAATCATGATAGTGGGTTCAAGGTCTAGGTGACTTGGTGTCTCAAAGTTTGGGGTTCTGGCAGTCTGCGGGTGGTTGTGGTTTCAGATGTCAAGGTTCTGGAACTTTGCATCTTTTTGCCGCGAGGGTTTTGGAGGCGTGCTTGTGAGGCCTTCCCAGTGTCATTTTGCACGTTTTGTATGTGAGGGTTGAGCTCTCCGGGTTTAGGATTTTTTGGCTGCAGGCCGTGTGTGCCTTCTGCATGCATGCCTTACCGCTCCCTGGGATTCATCGATTCGTGTCAACATATGCAAGGTGAGGGCTCAGAGTTGGGGTGGGGTGGCCAAACAGGTCCAGGTAGTATCTTGTCTGCATAACCTTAATCCAAGGTTTATTTGCATCTCTCCCCTGCCTTCTTGGGCGGGGCTGTGATGCTGCTTGGGCAAGCAAGTGCTACACTATGTCACCAGGGGCGTAAGCTTCCTGCAGTTCATGTCTTCGTGATGGAAGCAAAAACGGTTTGAAAGATCTTCTCCTCCTGACCGCCTCGCTTCTTGTGTGGGGCTTCGTTGGAAAAAGCCTGTGCTCGGCTCCTAAAAGTTTCCTGTCTCAATTGGCGAGAGCTGACAGCGAAGAACCCGGACCCGCAACTCGGACGATTTGAGATTCAGGCCAACAGAGAGTCTCTATGCACGAAGAGGTCGCCAGCAAATCTGTCAGAGTTGATGAAGCCCCAGGCCTGAGATACACTTTGTTCCGGTCGGGAATGACAAAATCTTCCGATTTCTCCAGCTTCCCGAGCTTTCTCCGGGGGCCTGGCACCTTGAAATGATCGGATATAGCCACGCAGCCTAGCAAGCAACACAGTTGCGCACGCACTTCGCCACATTGGGAAATGCCTGTGGCCAATCCAGTCTCCAGGTCTCAGCAAAGCCCTTGTGATCTGTTTGGCCACCTTAGCGCACTTTGGGATTCGCCTTTTGGAGCATAGCCTTAATAGCTACGAGGCTAGGCGTGGCTAACGTATGCTAACATGAAATAACATGAAGATCAAAGAGGCATCAACGCATGCGATGTGAAGTTCAGGACAACATGGCTTTGCACGGAGAAATCGTCTTAGAATTGTAAGTTTCCGCCTACGGAGCTCTTGTGGCAAGAGATCAGGCCACATGCTGAGCACTATGAGCTATCAACGAGTGTTGGTGACGTTTCATGTTCATGGTCTACTTACGTTCAAGAGTCATGGGATGCTGGGTCTGGGCTAGAACTGAACCCTCATGTAAGCGGTTTTCGATGGCGAGCACAAACGTACTCAGGTTGTTGGCAAATCAACGAAGCAGTGCAGGATCATACTGCCACGTTCCAGGTCGCTGCTTCCAAAGAAGGAGAGTTGGAAGCTAATTCTGAAACATTCTGAATAATGAATTTGTGAGAACCTTTCTTCAGCATGTTAAGTCGAACGGTGCGCTGTTATCGCTTGGCATTGGCACGGACTGTCACTAGATTCCCCCAGCATGTCCAGCATGTCGGAGCTTGGGTGGGAATTGCAGACAGAGATGTGTTTGCATTCAACCATCTTCAGACCCAGCTCGACGCCAACACCAAGTTGCCCACTGCTCTTCCCCGGTCGTCCAGGGCAACGTCAAACTCGACGACTTGACCCTTGCGTGTGATGTGTTCCTTTTTGAGGGATCTATCTCGGCACAGGCTCCATAAGCCCCAAGCCGTCCGGAGAATGGGGTGACCATCCGCACCAGTCTCAAAGCCAAACCTCAACACACCCCAAATGGGTGCCACACCAAAAAGATCGCATGCAGCTCTGCAAGGCTCTTGGTGTTGCCCCATTTGCCCGTGACAGTGCGCTGAACTGAAAAAACGCGTCTTGGTGCCTGGCTCGATCAAAAGGTTGTCACGGTGGACGAAAAGATCTCCATCAAATGCTGCGGCATTGAGGAAGCCCCAGCCTGTGGGAAATGAGTCGTGCGAAGCGAAAGTTACAGAATGGCAAGCCAGAGGCTCCAACGCTCAGCAAAGCGTCTGACATAGCCTCTGTGCCGCTGGCCCAGCACGTCATAGGGCCTGACCCACACAGGTCACAGCACTTTCACCACATCACCTGCTGACAGCTGGGTAGCAGGGAGCCCAAGAGCTCACTTGCGATGTTACTGAAGCGAAGCTTGCTGGATCTTGTGTGGTGCAGCCATGTCAAAAAGCTTGGGACTAGCATGGTCCGTACAAGCATGCACAGCTCAGCCGCTGGCTTTCTGCCCAGGACGGGTTTCACAGCTACCGCCACCGCTTTGCCACTTTCATCAGCCTGAACATCAAACCTCGGTCCAGGCCACTGCACAAGTCGTAGCCCCATGGAGCAGCTCAGCATGACCAGCTGCAAAGCAATGCTGAGCTGTTCCTAAATCATCCGCAGTCTGTGGCAAGACATGATTTTTTATGAAAAGCCATCTGCACCCATCCAGTCTCTATACTGGCCCGAGGATACCACTCGACCCCTTCATTCTCGTGCAAGGGGTGAGCCTCAAATTCAGCAAACAGACATGGACAGGCACGTGGGACTGAATCGCTGCCTCACAGTGTCAAGGCATGAGGATTCAGCCTGAAATTCTGGCATTATTCGGTCTAATCTGAAGATCAGCTCGCCCTCGAACATGTGGCCTGAGTCGAGCAAAGCGCAGCCGACTCCCAGGCAAAAGCAGCTCCCAACGGGGCGCACTCTTCACCATGCCATACCCGCTGACAGGTAGGTATTTTGTCACGGAGCCCGTTAGCCTGCCAACCACTCTAGAGGGTTTCCTTCCTTGGCCAGTGGCGATCGAGTGCAACACGTGCCTTTCTTGCTTCAAGTCAAGTGCAGACTTCACGGGCAACCTCAGAAAGGTGCGCATCTGAGCATCGAGGGAAGCAGCTAAACATGCCAGAAGGACGTGATACCAAAGAAGCCCTCCTCTGGCGGCCTCCAGATTTCACTTGCACAGCTGCCCTTCATGCCAACGGCTTGCGGCTTGCAAGGCTGCGGCTCGCCATCTTCAGGTCCTGTGGTACTTCATGGTAAGGTTTCACGGATTGGATTCAGAGCTGAGCAGCGCAGATGCAGCCAGCCTCTGCGAACAAAGCCTGTAGTCATAGGCTGCTGACTCAGAGCGGCTGGGCAGGTGCTACTCGTAAGCAATAGACCATCGGTCGGCATGAGCAGAGCACCAGGCCTCAGCTTGAAGCGTTGAAGCATGTTGAAGCGCTGAAGCGGATTCTTGAATCAAAGATGTCAAAGCGTGTCACAGCCTATTGTGCAGGGTCCCTGGCGGCACAGGGCCAGATGAAGCTCTGTCCACCTAGCAACACTCGCGCGCACTTGCGCGCTGTGCAACAGAGGCGGATACAGCAAGTGATGACAGGACCTGCATCAGAGCAGACTCCATGATGCTAATCGGCGCTACCTCCAGCATTCCGTCAAGCCTGGCTCCAAAAGGTCACGAAAGGCGTGAAAGGATACACTTGCCCAGAAACAAGCAAGAGCTACACACTGCACCCCGATGAGTCCAAACCTGAGCAAACAGTCGAAGCTCATGTATGTCTCCATACTCGCAAGTAACATATAGCAGCATACCGAGAATGCTGAGAACAAAAATGAAGGCCTCGTCTGCTCCGCTTCTAGTCGCTTGCGCGCGCACCTGATTCAACGGCATCGGCCTTGCCCCCCTGCCTGCGCAATTGAGCCCATTCAGAGCATGATCTGGGGTCATCACCATGAGTGCCAGCAGCTTCTTGTCAGACCATGGGTCCATGAACAAGGCGTAGCCAGCAAAGCGAAGGATTTGTCTGGACTTTTTTAAGATCTATGCCCCTCAGCACCACGAATGCGTTTATCTGCGAAGACATTCAACAGCGTCCCTATGAACACTTGCGAAGTTTCCCATGGCTTCCCAATTGTCGTTCGTAACTGCTGCATTGAACAACTGCTAGTTTGTCCATACTATCAAGTCAAACTTATAGTACTTGGAGAAGACACATGAGCCAAGTTGCTGCAGCTCCAGCTCCGGCTATCTGCATCAAGTATCCATCTTGCAGCATCACGTTACCTCGAACCCACTGCGAATCCTTCTGGTTGTGGTTGTGCTTCTGCATGTGGTTGTGATTCTGGTTGGGATTGTTGCTGCTGGCGCTGGTGCCGCCACCGCTGCCGCTGCTGCGCTTCTGATAGTGTTTTTGGCTGCTGCTGCTGCTGCTGCTGCTGCTGCTGCTGCTGCTGCTGATGTTATTCTTGTCGTTGCTGCTGCCGCGGTTGTTGTTAACTACTGTTGTTGCTGCTGCTGAGCTCTTCTTGGTTGCTTCCATAATTTAATTTGGAATGCACGATCAGCATGTCTCTCATCTTTCAGCAGGCATCAGAGCGAAACCAGAAAATAGTAGCCACTTTGAGGCCGATGCTTTTGATTGTCAGGCCATCGTTTGCAAACTGTTAACTTACCCTTTTCAGGAAGATATCTTCTATGGCTATCTGTCAGAGGCACCAAGGTGGAGATACAGCTCAGATCTAAGCTTCTGCGCTCGCGCGGCAGCAATTGGCCCGCTCTTTTGTCAATGATCTCAAGCTAAGCAAGAATGTTCATCAACCTTGGGCGGGCAGTCGACATTCTTCCACTGCCCAAGCTGCAATGCCGCCTTGCAACTCGAGCTTTGCCCCATGTTCCTGTGCACCAGTGGTGCCGTTTACTGTAGCAATGTGCGGCGCTGTGCTTTTGCATGTAGTTTCTTCCACCCACCCGCAAATAATCAACCCGCCCACCTCCACAACCCACGTTCGACTAGAGCTTGTTGCCCAACAGGACCGAGGTTCACAAATGCAACCAGCTGCAAGTTGTGCAAGAACATAAGAAACAATCAAACGACTCTTTTGGAACCATCCGCAAGGATAACCAAGCGACTTCCCCCTTGGAAGGTCATAAAACACGGAGAGCAGCGGGAAAACATGCCGGGCGAACACTCTCAGAGAGGATTCAAAGCCGTCCGTCAGCCAAGAGAGCATGGAAAAGGGCCAATGAACTCCTTCGGAGCTGCTCCTAAGGGCACACGTCTGCTCCCCGGTCTGCGTCACTAACCTTGACCTCGCGCCGCTGAGTCATGTGCGCAAGAACCTCCTCGCTTTGGAAGCCCAAAGATTCTGCCAATTACCATCTGGAACATCAGCGGCACTGTGGCAAGAACTATCAACTCCACTTCGGAAGCGATTTGCATCTGTCGCGGACGCGCGTCCGCTATTCGTTGTGCTTCAGCAGTAAGGGCGTGCGAGGACAATGTCCGCCGCGATTCTCTTGAGAAGCAGAGGCCAACCTTTTCAGAAGAACTTGCTATGTTTGCGCTTGCACGGCGGACAGGCTCTCGCCTCGTTGCTGCTGAAGAAAAAAAGCCCTCCCACCTGCGACAAAATGACATGTGTTGAGTGAAAACGCACTCGCAAGAGCGTTCAGGCCTCATGCGTGTGACAAGAAAGCACAGCATCGAACTCTTCGCCTGTGCCGTCAGGCTGCACTCACCACCGCTTACTGGACCAGGCGCGGCCACTGAGCTCATTACTTCCTTTCTTCTTCCTCCAGCTGCATTAGTTCCTCATCCTCATCATGCCTTAGGATGGACTCTCAGGTACTTGGGCCTTGGGATCTCCATCCACCACCAGACTAGCTGAGACACTCCGACAACTTGTCGACATCTACTAGCTCGTCCAGGTGCACACGGACCTGGACGCTTAAGGTTTCTTCGCATCGTTGAACCGACAGTCTTCAATTGCTTGCCATGTCCGGCCTCTCCCAACAGGCTGGCTACATGTGCAGGGAGCTCTGCAAGAGGATTGGAGTCCTGTGAGCTCAGCTTCTCAACAATTGATCATGTGGGATGCCTTAAATTCACTGCTAGGCTGAGTGCCTTGAGGACGTCTTTCAGCAGAACTTTCTTCCTCAAGTTCTTGGACTGAGATGGCTCCACCAGAAGGTCATAAACCTGGCAATTCGATATGCAAAGAGCTTTGTCAGCATCTTCCATGAATCTGATCTGTCACCGAAACCAGTGGGCCTTCTGCCAGCTGACAACGATGTTGTATTGCTGGTACCTCCATCATGGAGGCTTTAGCTGTCCAGAGTTCCAGCTCCTCTTCCTGCCAGCTTGCAATCTGAGCTTCAGACGCCTCTTCGAGCTGAGCCTGCCAGAGCCACCCAGCTTTTGTATTGCAGCACGATTTGTCTTCGACGAGGCCAACATCCCCCGCAAAGGCTGGCATCGCCATGTTTTGTTTTTCAGTGGCCCTGAAAGGCCTTGTGCTATGCAGCTCCCTCGGCTGAGCAAGTGCAGGTGCTGCGCGTGGCACCGCCGAGCCCACGGTACTGGACGGGACTGGGTGACAAGATTGACCGTGGACCATGTCTTCGTTCCTTCTCGTGGGCAGGCTATCTATTGATGTTTCCAACATCCGAGAAGCTTAAGAGATTCAAGCGCGGCATGGAACTCATTTGATACGATGCAAATTACACCCACGTGCAGGGCTCTCGCCTGCCTTAATCTTGCGAGCAGCCTTCCTCTTCAAGATCTGAAGCTTCTTTTCATGCTTCGCCTGCGTTCTTGGATTGTACAAGCCACTGCCAGAGATCTGCTGCTGGAGCACCACCACGCTCCTGGATCTCGTCCAGGGTAATCTCTCCGTCTTTGGGGCCAAGTTCTCCCCACATCCTCCGTGTTCACAGCACAGCGTTGAAAGGCATGCAAAGGCAGCTGAAAGTAGAAAACAAAAACATGGATTGCGACCCTTTGTCCGCCGCCAAGGTCCCAAGACCGACACTAATGGCTGATGTTGCTCACAGACTCCGCTAGAAGACTTGCAGCTGTGCATCAACTCAATTTGCTGAGTATACATGTGACCACCCTTCTAAATGACGTTTCTCAAGCAATTGCGAAGAACAGGTTCCTCGCTCTTCAGTTTGAAGGCTGTTCCAGCGCCGACCTGTGCTTAATTAATGGAAGCGTCTGAGAAGCCTCCGGCCGAGCGTCCATCGCCCGACCGGTTTTGCGACTTGGCGAAACTTCTGCGGATTCATTGCTTCATTCTCCGGGCGTGACGAACTTGAGGGGCAACATGTGGATAGATCCGTGGATTGCGTGGCCGAGCTTCCGAGCACCGATGCTTAAATCATGAAGCCAAAAACTCGAACCAACCTTTGCCGGGGGTACGGAAGCCTGCATGGTGAGCCTAACATTCGTGATACTGCCCGCTTTCCCCGTCCTGATTGAAGCCATTGGAAAGCCACAGACCGAAGTTTTGAGTGCATCACAAATTAGTCAGACTCTTCTGGCATGAATGGCCATATAACTTACTTGAATAAACAGACGGCAGCGGCTTTGCAAATGCAATCTCCTCTCACAGATCCGGCTTGCTGAAAGACAAGACAGCACGTTCCCAACCGGAGCATTACATTTCCCAGCCTCAATGAGCTATACAAGCTTGACCTGGCTTGGCGACACTCCGTTCTGACATGATCTGATTCGGAAACCACCACTGATTAGTGCTGCCAAGATGCAGGATCAGAGACGCCAATCCCCAAATACCAAACCAGGCGCCGCTTTCTGATGCCAGATCTACCCAGGCAAGAACCTCATGCCGATCACACTGCTCGCTCAACACTTCGCTCGTCAAGTTGGGGCGGCAGCTGGCTGTTTGAGCAAGGCTTTCGCCTTGTCGCTCAGCCTGAACTTAAGCCGCACCTGGGCCTGATTGCGCTCCTTGAAGCTCAGAGCCTGAGGCTGCAAAGCTAGTCTGCCGAGACACCTCCCATGTGCAGCGGACCTGCGAGTACACCCGGGCAGACTCCACCTCAACGTAAAAGGTGGACAGCGTGATTGTCCCAAACATGTCCTGTCAGAAAAGCTGCATTTCTGAGATCTATTGTTTTCTCGTTGTGTTCTGCACTCGCTCCTTCACGTACAATGGAATCACGGCAGCCGTGACGTCAATCGTGTAGACACTGCCAGGCCTGCAAAGCAGTTGCGAAACTACGGGAAGATTCTCCTGCTTGAATGGCTTGAAATCATTTAAGGCTTTGGCTGCAGTGTCACACTCTTGTCCCTTGCTGCGGTAACATCTGCCATTGCTTCCTGCACAAATCGCTGTTCCTCAACTTCTGCTTTGAATTTCAGTTAGCAAAAGCCCTGTCGTTTCCTCCAGGTCAATGCTGAACGGAAATGCAGGCTGCTGCTCGATTCCACGCTTCTGACAACTTTCTCGATGCAGCTCCCAGTAGGAACGCACCTGAACCCACCGAAAGAGCAGGATACCAACAAGTGACTGTCGCGCTGAGGTTGTGGCATTGCACTCGAGGATCTCTCTCAGAATCTTCTCGTCCTTCGACCTGTATTAAGAAAATATCTCAGATGGCTCAAGCACTTAAGCACAGCCCACCGCCGAAGCTCTAGCCGCAGAAGTAAAAGTGTCTCCGCGCAATATTTATACTGCACCAAAACCAGCGAGCACAACTGTTTCTGGCTTCTTCCTGGAACCTCATGCACCTCGGAATGCTCACACCTGAGTTTTTTCTAGCGTTTCTCCCTGGGAAGTGCGGCCAAACATAGATTGCATGATTAACCTTTCCTCTTCCAGTCAGTTGGAGTTGGGTACCTGCAGAGTACCCAGAGGTGGGAACCTGATCCCCGCAAGGTCTTTCCTCAAAGAGCAACGGACTGTTGCAAGCAAGCAGGAAAAAGCGGCGAATTGTGCTGTCACGGAATTTGGATCCAGCAAAATGCAGGCAGGCTGAGGTCTAGACCACCAACGCGGTCTGCCTCTCAATGGGCACTTGCTGCAAGATATCAGCCCGAGGACTGAGCAGAACCTCTCTGTACAAGCTCCATGGTCCGCTCGATGTCCATGTGAATCTCAAGGTTAGGCCTGCAAGGACAAAGAGCGCTGCTTAAATTCACTGGCGGCTGCTCAGAGCTGTGAGTTCTGGCTACTGAGGACCACTCTGCACCGTCGGACTTGATGCCGGCAAGTGCGAGAGCGAGACTCCCGTCTTCTGCAGAACCTTCTTGCTGTCTCCTGTGGTACAGAACAAGCGCTGTCCAATCCAGCGGCTTCAACCCTTGGTCCTGCATGCTTGCCCTTGTAGAGTATTTTTCCCGTGTACAACACCTCCACTGGGCAAGGAGTTTTCAGCCCACGGGCTGTGCAAAGGACTTCGTCCTGAAAACAGACTGACAAGTTCAGTAAAGTGGTCAACAAAGGCAGGTCAGGCTATCTCTCTCCTCTACAAGTTGTACGTCTCCACCAGCGGGTGCATTCTTTGAGAACAGCTTTTCAGTGTCCTCCCCAAGCTGCTAAGCTCAAGGGATCAGACGGACTGTTTGTCTCCTCCGCAGTGGAGTCCCAAGTGAAGAAGTAGCCTCACACGGTCCACGGACCGCACATCAAGATGAGAAAAAAGCTGCAACATACAAAGTGCGCCATATTTGCAGAACAGCCGCTTGTCAGCGTGTCCAACATCCACTCGGGCTTGTAGAGCGACCCTTCACGTCGGTTTTCAGCGAAGACCCACTTCCCATTTAGAGGAAGCGATAGCGTCTTTCGCAGTGTACTGGATGCAAACAGCTCCTGGAAAAGAAGAGCACCACTGAGCCACTGAGCAATGAATTGACAAGAGCGCCACTCTCGCAGCAGGGCCTGATTGCAGGACACACGGTACTGATCCTTGTGATCTGCCCGGAGCTTTTGCAGGTCCTGCAGCTCGAGCACAAGTACCAAGAACACTCCTTTGTATTTTGTAACCTGTGATTGCACGGCGGAAGGCTCAAAAGCTTTGAAGATACACTCTGAAAGTATGTGCCTGAAGAATGTCAGCTAGTCTTAGCCAAGTTTTCAATTCTGTTCCCAGACACGCTCCTGGCAAGACGTGTTGACCCACGCCTCATCTGGAATCCCACAGTTCTCGTCAAGATCCTTCCTGAGATGCAAACTGGGGCAAGGCTCGACCGACGAAGCGGCAATACTTCGAGTCAGGCCGCATTTTTTCGGCCGTGTAGGGGTTCTCACTTGCAGTGAAATTCTTACCTGAGCGCATCGCCTTGTCCTTGCTCAGACATCAAGGGCATTGGGTCATGGAAATAAAGCGAAGCTCAAACTCAGCTCCTTCATGATTTCTTCCAACCAGTCAAAAGTGTCGCACTCCAGCACTCTCATGCGCCGATCCTGCTAAACTGGACAAAAGCGCGGTGAACACATGTTAAGATTAAGGTGGAGCCAGCTTGCCGGTGGGATGCGCCAATTCTTGAAGGCCATCATCTCCTCCCCAACATTCCGTATATCTGGCAGACACTGCTATAGATTGGATGCCCTTGATAAAAACCCGTCCGGAGTGTTGAACAAGAAGTTTCCGCCGTAACCGTGTTGATTCCCATCTCGGCTCCACATCGTTCTGACCGGATCCTCGGCTTGTTGGGATATTGCCGCAAGATGCTCCGTGTATTGCAGCTGCTCTGGCTGCCATCCGTCCTCGTCTAAAGCTTTGGATGGGCACAGAGCATCTCTCTCAACCTGGGGGAACCAACTTTACTGTTTGTCTCATCATGCAGCTCACGACACACCACACTACACTGTGAGCTGCCTTCTTGTGAACGGGCGTGATGAACACCGCAAAATCAATGTCTACCTGGTTGGCGAGGTAAGACCAATCAAGCTGCATGGTCCAGCCGTTCTTGCATGATCAATAATAGCTGCATGTGACGAAGTTAAGACGAGTATGGCCAGCATCTGAACATGATTGGGACAGCCTGGCCTTCTCTGGAGCATCCCATTTCTCATCTTGCGTAGCTGATGCCCTGCCCCTGCAGTTCATCAGCCGGCATTCTCTGAACAGCACGTGCCGTGACTTGCTGCTATGCCATCTTTCAGACTGCACTTTTGGTATGCTTTCCAAAAACTCCTTTACATGATGACCCAACCTGGATAAAGACCCGGGGATTCAGGTGTCACGTTGCAGTGCGGCGTTCTTCCTGGTTTCATTTATGCACTGCACAGCTTGCAGCACAGGACACGACCAAGGACTTTTGCCTTCTCACACAGCTTCTAGCCAAAAACTTGTGTCTCACAACCTGAGCTTTCTCTGGATTATGCTTTGTGCGAATGCCCTGCAGACACCCGCGACTGGGATCCAACCTCGACTAAGCTTTACATCTTAGACATGTAAAAGCCTCCTATAGAAAGGGCGACTATACAGGAGGACGTTCGCACATGGTGGGCTGGGTGGGAAAAGATCTCACCTTCCTTTGACTCAACCGCAAGATTGCCAATGATAATTGCACCATGTGCACCCAGGCCTGCCAAACTCAAGAGATTAGAAACCGTGCACCCTTTCCACGAGACTCGTTCCAGCTTCAAAACAGTCTCCCGGCAATGCTTCCTTCCCGGAAATGATTCCGGGTGGAAGTTACTCCAAGGGGAAGGTGCAAACAGTGTTCCTGTGTTCTCTGATCCTCCCAGATGGACTCTCGATTTGTGCTCTTATAAGACATTGGACGATATGGATGGTACACTCACAGCCACTTCAACGAAGCTGCCAGACCACCCTGTTCCAAAAGTTCCATATATAGGGGGCCATGACCTTGACTCCTTCACACCATTTCACACCTCACCCCTAGGAAGATTCTGCACTGCGCCCGACAAAACTACCAATAGTAAAGGCCATTAAACTACTGCCGTGATAACTGCAAGTTGTCTTCTATTGCTATTGCTGTTGCCTTATGCCAACTCTATCAATGCTTCTACTGCTGTTGCTGCTATGATCCATAGAACTAACATGATTGCTTGTGCGAGTAGCATCAGTAGCACAAAGGCAACAATTGCTATGACGATCTGCACTCATGTCAGTGTTGTTTGTGGAATCTGCAGGCAGGCCGCAAGAGATAGCAAAAACGATTGCATGGCTGTTGCAGGTAGGGTTGGGGTGAGTGGCTGATATGGGACCCCCAAGAAGTGCGCCGGGGTTGCACACCGGGACTGCTTTCACTCAAAGATTGCCTAGAATCCTGCCTTGGCAGATACTCGTTGACCTTGGTTCTGCCGCCTGCCAACCAAGCATATTAGCAAAAATGAACGCTGCTGTTGATGAGACTCCTGATAGGTGGTGATGCTTTCGGGCACTTCATCTTGTCTTCGCTTTGGAAATCAAATTAACTTTCAGAAGACCTGGAAAACATGTCTCGCGCTTAAGTCCAGCATTTGCCAGCACCTCCTCACCCCTTGTCTTGCCTATGCCAACTGGTGCCAAGCTGTATATCTCAGGTGTCTCCACGGTCCTGAAAAACGCGAAATTGCGGACAGTAGTTACAGAGCGGATTGCAGTCCTTGCTGGCACCTTTTCCAGCGCTTCTCCATCAAAGGCTTGCATCAGGGCCTCAGGATCTCTCTAGAATCTGCAAGCCTTTTCTTTGCTCTGGCCCTTCAATCTGGAGAGCTGTCCTCCTGACCAGAGAATTGCTGCGCTCTTTGTGGTACAGCCGGTGCCGCCACGCCATGTGCTGTATCCTGCCATGCATCAAGCATTCTTGTCCATTGGATCCATGCAAGACACGCAGGCAGAGCAGTGTAAGCCAGAATACTGTCGGCAGGAGCTGCAGTGTCCCTGGACAGTGACGTGCATGGATCATGACGTGGGTGAAGTTGTACAAAAAGCCACCAAGACGCCGACATTGTCTGCCGAACAGTTGACAGGCTCGCTTGGATTAAAGTTGGCACCAGGGACACCTCTGCATGCGACAATGCAGCAAAGACCCCCTGGAAACACGAGTCCCGATTGTGTATATATATATATATGGTATATTTATGCATATATATATATATGTCCATGTATATGAGCTACAGTCCAGATTTCCCGTATGATGAATGGACACGCCTTCTTCATTGGGGAATATATAGGAACTATACCAACCTACAAAAAGGACCCCTATCCGTCTTAAGGTTCCGGTAATAAGCCCAATATTGACTCTAGCTCTTCCCTGGGTAAGGCCACTGCGGTCTCAACTGACGTGCCACCGCCTTCATCAAAGACATGTCTGGAAGGCCAGAACTCTTCTGCAGAAACGAACATGCGTGCCTTCCTCAAGCACCTGCAAGGAGTCCCCATTCAGACTGAGACTGCAATCCGGCACACAGCCAGTATGCAAATGTATTGAACAAACTCTTCTTCTAAAGCTTCACGGCTTCTAGCCACAGCCTCTCGCTCTTCAGTGCCGGGAAGTATCCTGCCAGCAAGGCTTTTACAGAAAAAACAACACAGTGTGCCCGGAGATGCTGCAACATTTGGCTCCCACCTGAAGTTGACGATGACCGAGCCTTCAGCCACGCTGGTCCTGAGCATCTACTGTCCATGAGCTTGGCAGAACGCTACACGGACACGGCTGAGGCTCAAGCACCTCAAGCATGTTGTCCGGAATGTACAGCTGACTGGCAAGGTCCCTGGACTTCCATGATTTGTATGTCTACATGTGCAGAAACCCGAGGCCAACATGCAAATCGCAACCTGATGAACACTTGTTCGAACTGTTCGCGTTGGCTTCCACCTTCGAGCATGCACAACTCTGGACACTCCAGAAAATATCAAACTAACTTCAGGAATCTGGCCTTGTAGTACAGAGTCCTCAGCAGCAACAAGCACATCAACAAGTTCCCAGCAAGAATCAAGGAACTTTCGGGCACCCACTAAATCAAAGTTCGCTGGCAGTCCCTTGAGCTTCAGCTGATCGGTAACCTTGGACGAAAGGTGTCAGCACAGATTGGTTGGGCAAATGAGCCTGAAACTGGAAGACTGCTGCCTACAAGGGGGGCCGTGATGACTGGAAAACTAGCGTCGCTGCGACTGATTCTGCCACTAGTTCCTTGACTGTTGAATACTTGTCCGGTGGACTTGCGTCCAGTTCACTCCCGCCCTCGTTCCACTGGCTCTCTCTGTAGAACCAGAAAAATGTGAAGTTTGCCTCAAACCTAGCCCCACCACGTATTGCAAAAAACTGCGTTTACAGAGTTCACAGAGGCCACCGTGTGGAGCAGCAATTGCCAGCACATAAAAACTGAGGCGTCCAAGCACAAGACAATTGGCCCAAGTAACGTACTTTCAGGCTAGATCCGGGCTTTTGTATGGGGTTCAATATTGTTTGCGGAGGGCCGTTTAAGCTACAATAATCTCTTTTCAGCTTGGAACTGGTGCACAATCCAACCGAAGCCTGCATGCGAGATCCTGTCCGCCGCGTGATCATTCAAGAAATGCTGCACTGTGCTGTCACAGATTACAGCGGGTGCGGTCGGGGCTCACAATTCAGGACTTGAGGGGCGAGCCGAGGCCAACGAAAGCTAGCCAGGCTCTATCTAGCACTAGAGTAGGGTAGAAGAGGGGGAAGGTACCTGCCGACAAACAGCACAGTCCTAGTTAAAGGGCCCGGAAAACCCCCGCTTTCTGAACAGTATGTGGGTGGGACACTGCAAGCAACCATATTGAACGCAAAAACTCATTTTTTTGGACGACGACAGGAGCATCTAGATACGGATATGAAGATGTATCAAAGGACATACGCTAATGAATCATTAAACATCCTTACTTCTCTTGGAATCAATCTGAGTCTTCAATCTAATAAAGAAGCAGACTCTACAAAAGTAACCATAGCAGCCCAAAACGAGCGAGCTAGGCTTGAGTCTAGTTGAGTTTTGGCAGTGATAGCCTTCAAGGTCTGGAACGTGGCGTAACCTGTAATACAACTAGAATCCAACATTAGTGAGAGAACCACTATTAAACACGAACTCAAGATTATACCAAACAGCAGACGCTAGCAACAAGTAAAATGCAATATCAGCAGAGGAAATATACAGACGGATAGAACATCTGACCTCACCACAGGAATAACAGCAGTACAACTAAACGACCCCGAACTACAATTATTAATAGAACAGTTATGAACAATCACAAACTTAGCAGTATTGGTAACATTCTTGGGAAGGCGGATGTCACTAATTGGGGACGCTTTCATGTTTCAGAACAGCAGTGAGTTTAACGAAGTACTGGACACACAGTATAAATCATTCAAGACAGCGATGCGTTCCGAGACATAGATGTTACAATGGGGTCTAGAATCATCAACGCCAAAGATGAAAGTAACAGACGGACAGGTCAACTTACTAGAACATGTAGACATTACGCATTCGGATGTATCAGTAAGTCAAGGAGTTGACATGGATCACTAGGCAGCAACGGACAAATGTTGTAAGTTAGGCATGACATCAGTTGGTTCTGATGTTTACGCTTCTCTAACGTCAACAGGAACAGCGAAAGATACAGAAACTGGAACATGTAGTGCTGCAGTTGAGGCAATTTTTAAAGAGTAGTTAATTCGTACCATGAGCATGCCA